TTTCCACTTCTGTAAATCGAGTAATATGTTAATAAAAATATAATGTAATATATGTTTTGAATTCGTCTCGATGTCCTCTAAAGCTATGAATAAAAAAAAATGTATGTTCCTATTTAAGAAACCCAAGGTGACCTTAACTTTGCCAAGAGGACAAACTGTTTTCAAAATTTGCTGTACTAATATCTATTGTGCACTTCATACCCTGCAAATTTTATTCTAAACTTTTTTTCGTAAGGTGGCTGCAAGTGGGAGAAAAATCGTGAGTACCGTTACAGGTAACACCCTGTATATCAAAAATGAAAATTTTGAGATTAGAGATTTAGAATTTTTCAAAGTGTCAAAACTTAGGATTTAAAGGTTATAGGATTGGAAATTTAAAAATTTGAGGATTTGGAATTTGAAAATTTACGAATTTGGGATTTTAAGCACTTGAAAATTTACGAATTCGGGAATTTAGGTACATGAAAATTTTCGAATTGGGAAATTTAACTATTTGAAAATTTACAAATGTGGGAAATAAATATTTGAAAATTTAGGAAACCGGAAAATTAACTATCTAAAAATTTTTAAATTTGGGAATATAGATATTTGAAAATTTAGGAAATTAAAAATTTATAAATTTAGCTTTTTGAATATTTACAAACTTGAAGCTTTAGATAATCGAAAATTTATAAATCGGGCAGCATAGCTATTTGAAAATTTATGAATACGAGAATTTAAAAATTGGAAAATTTAAAAATTTAGAAATTTTATTTTCAGCTCAAAAAGCTTTGAGTTAATATTTTCGACTTTTTAAAATTGAAGACAGTCATTGGTATGTTGTTCCATCTATTATTGGTTCTTAATTAGAAAATTGTGATGCTATTGGTATATTAATTTGAAAATTCAGTAAATATTTTCGAAATTAACAAAATTATAATAAATATGCAAAATATAGTGAATGAAGAATAGTGTTTTATAATTTAAACATTCGTTGTCTGGTGCTCATTTGATCATTCCAAAATATCGTAAAATCATCATGAATATAATATCCCAGGGCTACATACATCACTACGAAGATATGTACTAATTGTAAGTATAAAAATTATATAGTTTGTTATAGTATTATTCATGACAAGTTCTCATGTTTCAAATCCGATAATTTTTGTAGAAAATACAGAACATTCTAATAAATCGACCACTATTAGTGCTGATTGGGTCGAGGTCGACGGAGTGCAACGTAATTCTATACAAACCTACAATTTTGTAAAATTATGTGATGCGATGTTAGATTACATGTGGATGTTATCTTGATGCTGTCATCAAATTTTGTTATAAATTTTTCAAATTTTTACGACATTTTAGGGAAATAACCAATAATCCAAAGGAGTAATGTCCGGAGAATACGGTGGGTGCTAATATCCCATTTGAGCGTTTGCAAGTATGTTTTGACGACATTTGTGACATGAGGCCGAGTGTTGTCATGCAGTACAACGACTTTATCATGTCTTTTCAAGTATTCGGGCCATTTTTCTCGCAATGCACGGCTCAATCGAATTAATTGTAGCCTATACCGATCGCCTGTAATGGAATCGCCAGATTGTAGCAGTTCATGGTATATAACACCCTTTTTGTCCCATCAGATACACAGCATGACCTCCGAACCATGAATATTCGGCTTTGATGTTGATGTTGAGGTCGATGGCAACGATTGACCGGGCATAGCTTAGTATTTTTTCTTCTTAGGATTATCGTAGAATATCCGTTTCTCATCCCCAGTCACAATCCGATGTAAAAAAACCGTTCTTTGTTGTCTTTGAATCAGCTGCACATAAGTGACAAATCGCTTTTCAACGTCTCTCGGTTTCACTTCACGAAGCATCCAATTGCCTTGCTTTTGAATCATCCCTATGGATTTCAGCCGTACGAAAACTGCTTGTTGAGTCACTCCCAATGATTCTGCAAAGTCCTCTTGCGTTTTACTCGGATCTTCATCAAGTAATGCCTCCAATTCCTTGTCTTCGAATTTCTTTGGCGGTCCAGAGCGAGGCTTATATTCAACGCTAAAATCGCCATTTCTGAAACGTTGAAATCATTCCCTGCATGATTTATCAGTTGGAGCATTGTCACCATAAACTTCCACAAGCATTCGATGCGCTTCAGACTTTCCTTCCAATTGAAGCAAAAAGATAGAACCTACCGCAAATGCTGCTTAGTTAGCACAAGTTTGACATAATCAATACAGTAAAAAGCAAGGTTTTTGTATGAAATTCAAAGCGATATAAACTGAATATTATTAATAGATGTTTGAAACAAAAGAAATTAGCCGTCACTATGAAACATTCATAACAGCCAGAGCTATCTTTTGAAAACGGGCCGAACTAATTTGTACACCCAATACATAAAAAAGTAAAGCAAAAATGTAGAATACAATTTTGTCATATATATTTATTTTTGAAAATTCTAAATTTATTTATATAAATTATTATATATTTCATTTTCGGAAAAATAGAGTTTAAAGGTTCTTGACTTTGTGAAGAATTTTGTTTACGGCACACAACAATACTTCTTAATAATTCAACAATTAATAGACATTGTGATAATTATCAATATCAATAAACTGTATTATATAGCACTTTTCTTGACGATATTGTTATTATACTAATGCGTACCGTAATGAATTTATTCGATAATACACACAGACAACAACATCATAAAAATGCTGATTAATAATACTTCAACAACGTTTAAAATTGCATTTGTTAATTTATAACATCTATTAATTGTTGAATTAATAAAAGAATGAAAGTCGTGGCCTTTCTTTTGCAAATAAGTGATATGAACATCTTTAGAAACCATCGACTATAATTTTCTC